TTTAATTAATCTCTTAAAGAAACCCACATTGGATGGATCTAGTTTAATTTGGATTGAGAAATGTACAATTACATTTGACGAATTGAAATAAAAATTAGTGTCTACACCAATACTAGTTGTATCTTGTTGGACAAAACTATTTTATGTTTATGTTGATGCATCTAATATTGCTATTGGATCCATGTTAAGTCAAAAATATGAAAAGAATTTAGATCATCTAATATATTATGCTAATTAGTTGCAACTGAACACAATTATACTACAACTGAATGGGAAGCTTTGAAAATGATTTATTTTGTTTAGAAATTTTGGCATTATTTGCTTGGTTATGCCTTTGTATTTCATATCGATCACAATGCTCTTAAGTATATGGTTAATAAATCCCAATTGAGTAGACGCATTGCTCGATGGATGTTATTACTTCAAAAATTTAACTTTACTATCAATGTTAGACCAGAAAAAAAAATACCAATGTGGACTACATGTCCTATTTATCCAATATATTGGATAATGAGCCTATCAATGATGCCCTACTTGATACAAAAATATTTGCCGTCAATGTGATTATACCCGAATATAGTGAATTGATTTAATATTTGATATTTTAAACATTTCTATTTACTTATAGTGAGAAACTTAAGAAATGCTTGATTTTAAAAAGTGCACCATATATACTGATAGGTGATGCCTTATATAAGCAAGGGTGCGATGGAATTTTATGCCGCTGTATCTTTCAAAGTAAAGTGTGTATCATATTAAAAGACTGCCATTTAGATAGTTATGATAAGCATTTCAGTGATGATAGTACTGCTCGTAAAGCTTTAATGGCTAGATATTAGTAGCCAACAATGTTTTTGGATGCATACCAATATGTCTGACGTTGTGATCTTTGTCAACAAATTAGTCGACCTACTGGAACTTCTGCCATGCTGTTGGTACCAATTTTGGCACAAGCACCATTTGAAAAATAGGATATTGATTTTGTAGGACCAATTGCTCTAGGATCCCAAAATAGACAAAAAAGATATATTTTGGTAACGATTGATTATGTAACAAAATGAGCTGAGGCGGTGGGAATAAAAATTGATACTGCCAATATAGTAGCCACATTTTTATATGAGAATATTATCACTGTGTTTGGATGTCCAAAAGAATTGATTAGTGATCAAAGAATCCATTTTATTAATTCTACAATTATAGCCTTGATGGCTAAATATGAGATCAAATATTAGAAAACAATCTCATATCATCCTCATGCCAATGGGCAAACTAAAAAGACCAACCATATTTTGTGCAAAGTTTTAACTAAGACAACATCTAGTGAGGGAATGAATTGGGATACTAAATTGTTTGCAATATTGTGGGCATATTATACTGCATATAAAATTACTACCAATTCCACACCATTCCAATTGATGTATAAGCAAGAGCCAATATTACCAATTGAATTGGAAGTTCAGAGTTTAAAAATTGTATTGGATGAACATCTTGGTGACAAGGAATCCTTCCAATATTAATTATCACAATTAAAAAAATTAGATGAAGTTAGGGCTACAACTCTTTTGACTATGGAAGCTACACAGCATTGCCATAAGAGTTATTATGATATTAAATTACAACCCAAATCTTTTTTGCCCCATGATCTAATATTTTTTTATAATAACCAATTTAACAATTTTTGGAGGAAATTTCAAGTCCATTGGTATAGACCGTATTATGTAGTGGAAGTTTAATAGCACTAATAGCTAATCCAGGGATTGTGATATACAGTATTGAAAAATCAAGTAATTCATTGGAGTGAGAGGCTATACCAAAGATTCCACTAGGACGGATTGCAATTTGTTTAGTAATCAAGGTATAAACTAAAGTTCTACTTGTGATGGACATCAATCAGTTAGTATTTTCATAGGATAGAATATTGGAAGGAGTGAATCTCAAGGAAGTTATATTGGCTCAGATTTCTCAATTAGAGCTCACGGTGAGTAAATTGGATGGAGAAAGAAATTTAAGGCAGTAATTAGAGGTGAGCAAGGAAGAGATATTGGAGCAAGGCCATCGTATTAAGGAACAAGATCAAACTATCTAGAAAAATGTGAAATCTAAGTTTCTATTGGAGCAAAAATCTGGTGAGAAACAAGAAGCTTGGAAACAAGAAAAAGAACGCATTCAATATATTGTAGAAGGCCAAAGGTAAGACTTATTCTAGATTTGCAATACATCAATTTTGGAACAAGAAGAGGCAAAGTGTCAATTGAAAATGGAATAAGAAAAGATAGTATTATTGGAGCAAGAAAAGATAGCATTACTGGAATAAGAAAAGTAGATATTGGGTGACTAGTATAGAATTGAAACAAAAAACTACGAGCAAAAATTGAAACCTTGAAAGTTGTAGTGACAAAATTGGAGGGTGATTTAGCCATTATTGGTTGATCATAGATGTCTATCCCACCAATTTCAATAATTCATGAATTGAAAGAGAAGGTGAGGCAACTACAGCACCATTTAGAAGCAAAAGATGTTAGGATTCTGCAATTAGAGGCTTAAGTTTGTAAATTGGGAGCGTATAATGAGGACTTATCAGCCCAATTGAAGAAAGAACCAATGAAAGAATTGGAGGAGGATGATGACTTATCATTAGAACTAGAAACAATGGAACCACCTATGAAGAATGTTGGGATTGATCAATCTAGCAAATCAGAGGAATAAAACATTGTAAGGATATTGTTGAAGAATTTTTTTTTACCAATATCGTATTTGCGAAGAGGCTGCACAATTAGGAGCGGGGCTATGTAGAATGGATAGAAATTGGTTTTTGTAGGACATTGATTAGATATTGATAAAATTGATTAATCATCTATAGGGCAGTCAATTCAAGAGGTAGGATGGATGATTTATTCAAAACAAATGGTTAAGAATTATTGGTTGGAATCTCTGTTTCGGAGTAAATATAAATCGATTGAAGAAGAATTAAGAAGGACCAGACTATGTTAGTCATGAGCCAAGGTAAGCTTGGTGCTACCTCTTGTTTTTATTTCCTTTATAAAAGAAGGGTAATAGATAGAATTTAAATAATGTGAAGTGAAATTTTGTAATGAAAGAAAGATTTGATTTATATGACGTTTAATGGAAAATTGAATTTATTGTGTGCTGAATTATAAGTGGAGAATTAGAAAGTCAATAATAGAAGATGTTTGTAAAGTATGGATATGACTAGGAGAATTATAATACATTGGTTTTTGAAAATTGAAAGTATGCCACAAGAAGAAGTCTATGGAGTCTAAAATTATGTGAAGTAGATTATTGAAAATGACAATTAGTTTGGAGAATTCTAGTGATTAGATTATAGAATGTTTTATGTAGTCTTTTAAGATGGTGAAGTATTACTTATTGTTGTCATAAGTTTGGAGAAGAGAAGAAATAGTGAATGCATAAGATAGAATTATCAATTGTAATATTTTATTTGATAGAATGTAAAAGGCATTGTAGTTTTTTTGAGTGTTTTAGTTGATCAGGAGATAGTTAATTGTGTGACCCTAATGTAAAAACTCATGCGGATAGTCTTTTCTCGTGTTTAAATCCCTTTATACATGTTTATTCTGATTAGATTAATCTAAAATAAGTAAAATGATAATTATACTTGGTAAAGCTCAAATTCTTGCCTTCTTCAACAAATTATTTTTAATATTAAATCTATTTACTTAACCTTTTATCTTTTATTTTTTATCTTTAAACCTTCATAATTTATTCATAATAACTTAGAATCATATGTTTTTTATATCATTAGGATGATAAAATAGTTATTTATAATTTTTTTTTAAATTTTATATTTTATTTTTATAAAGTAAAAATTTGATGAACATATCATAAAAAGTTTTTTGAGTGTATATTTGTTGATTGTATTTCTATCACTTGTATTATCTTCTTTCTTTCTTTGATTCTCTTTTATTATACTCTTCAATTTACACCACTAATTATAAACAAGTCTTAAGTAAGACCATCTTCTAATATAGATTGAGGAATAAATCTTATCTTTACATACTTATTAAATTCAATCACTTATTATTTGTTGTTCTTATTTATGGTTTCTTTATTGCATTAGTTTCTTGTTGCTTGCTAAATTCAAAAAAAATATTATATTGATATTTTCTTAATGTCTTTAAATTCCTGATATTACTTTTGTTTGTAAATTTTTTTAATTTAAAAATTTTATTATTATTTTCTATTATTTTTTATTACTAATAAATTGGATACATGTATTAGTTTACTTTATCTCAATTTTTTCCCCTCTTTCATAATGTAAAATCTTTTTAGTTTATTATTATTATTATTATTATATAAATTTAATATAAGATTTTTTTTAATTATTATTTTTCTTAATTTGATCTTTTTCCTAATATTTTGGTTTAAATAGCCGTCAAACATTCAAATAAATACTTTTATTTTATATCCTTATAATATTTTAATTTAGTACTATATTATGGCTACATTTTTTTACATTTTTAGCTTCTAAACTTATTTATTTAAGACCATTTTCACATTCATAATTCTACAACCATTATTCTTTTTACAACCAAATTATATTTCAACCAAAACCCTTAACGATATTTTCAGAACTTCGTGAAACTAACATCACTTTATATCAAATGTCCTTCCCTTGACCCTTTAAATAATAACAATGATAATAATTTTTGTCAAGATTGTTGTATTGATTTCTCTAATATGAGGTTGTGACAACATCTCTTAATTAGACATTGTCCTATGCTTGAGTTACAGTTGAAACAAAGTAATATTTATTTAACTGAAGAAACCCTTTGCCCCCCCCCCTCTGACTAATATTATATATTATTCATAATAATATTATCATTATTATTATTATGAATGAATATTATTCGGTTTAATCCCAGTCCTCCTCCTCGTTGCTTGCTTACGTACTATCCCGTTTCGCTTACTCATGCTGTTGTTGTTGTGCTTCATTTATTTCTCTTGTCGTCCCTTCCTTCTTCTTCCCACTTCGCTGCTGCATTACAGCTCCCATTCTTCTTCTGCTGCTGCTGCTTGGCTGTCAAATTGTTGCGATTTGTGAATTGAGACTAGCGAGTGAATAAAATGATTCTTCTATCGCAGAGTAATTTTTGGTATATTCTATTCCTTCGCCAGAGCAGAAATTGCCCCTTCTTCATTTAACCGAACCTTGATTGGCAGTTTGTGCCTTCTCAACCGCGGACGGTGCGGATCCTCAACAAGTGGTTTATTTGTATTATTATTTTATTTTTCACTTTTTATTACGTTTGGGAGGAACTCTTTCTAACCCGAGCAGCGCTTTGTGAAATTTAGATTGCCTACATCAAATGTCACCAGTTCTTAGAGTTAATTTTGGTCCAATGTGCCGAGATTTTTAAGTTCAAATCAGTCTGATATCAGCATCAATGTAGTCATTCCCTTGCTAACGCATTTGCCGACGCGTAGGGGGTTTGCATGCACAGATTATGAACCCGACAACAAGAAAGACTGTGATCGAAATTTGCGAATCGGTAAAATTTTATTGAAGGAGGCATTTAGCAGGAGTAAACTGCGAAGGCAAGAGAGGCTACATCATGGGACCAAAGAAAGGAGGAAAGAAGGGGAAGGTGAGGAAATTATTGGAATGGCCCCAGGATCCAAAACCAGATCTTTTGGCACAAATTGCGGTGCTCAAGATAGCCAAAGACAAGGAGACGCAAGAGCGCAACCTCATGATGCTCGAACGAGTATGAGCTTACCTTCTTCTTCTACTTCTTCTCGGTGGAATTGACTTTTATTCTGCTTTTTAATTTTATTTTTTCCTAAAATTGTATGTTTCAACATGTAACCTTGGGCTGTTGCAGCAGAAAAAAAACAATTATAAACCATACTTCACTGTTGATTTTACGAAAGTGTATCTTCGGAAAAACTTGATCTGTCTTTGGTGAACTGCGAGGTCACCGTCAGTATTGATATTAGCACTGTTGAACAGTGGGCCGGCGTCATAGTATACTCACATTCAAGTCCACCAGACTATTACTGCTCGATCACACCTCTTCCAGATGCTCTAGCTTTGAGAATGTATTTGTGATTGAATCGAAAGGATTTGACATTCAATCACGATGTCCTTAGGACAACACTGAGTAGCACTGGAGATGCCGTGATTGCAGCACCAAATGTCTGGTTCTACTTTTGATTGATGTCAGAAAATGATTGAGTCAAGGGCAGCACCTTGAAAATGAAAGAGAAGTGAAAGTGTTAAAGAAAGAATCAAATTGGTCTCTTCCAAGTTCTACAGCTTTGGTGGACGTCGAATTTTTGGGTGCTCAGATTCTTTGAGGCTTTCAGTTCCTTGAATGATTATTTGGCTGTGTTGTGTGAAGTAACTGTTTCATGTGGGCCGGTTCGTTGTGATAATTGTGAGTCTGCAACATTGTTCAGGATAAAATCTCGTCATTTTGGGAGGTTAAGAAAGAAGAGTACGACAAGTTACGTGCAGAATTTCGTAATAAAGACCGATCCATGGAGGAGCTCGAAGAACACCACCAGCTTGAGCTTAAGGTCTATTTGTAGTGCAAAACCGAATTAGTTCTCTCCGACTCCTGCTGGAGACTTCGAAAATATCATTTTTTTATTTCCCAGCTTGTGAGGCAGAATCCATGAAACATATGTTGATTTGGACGGATGACCGGTAGTCTGTGCACTCTTTGGAGTGAGATTTATAATATTGCGTTTGTGATTGATAATGTCGTTAGTGTAGGTACTTATTGACATATGGTGTAATGCGTTGATAGCTTTACAACCAAAAAATGAAACACCTGTTATACGAGCAACAAATTATGATGGCTACCATAAAGGCTGACAGTTCACAAGCTTTGAAATTGCAACGGGATAAATTTAGCAAGCGTGAAGGAGAGCTCGTGTAAGTGGGTGTTCGCTCAAGAGTCTTTGCGCCACGAGTCTTCGTATCATACTGAAGTAAGGACAATCTGGTATTGAATTTACTACTCATGTATGATCAAAGTTTGATTGACTGTACGAGGTCACGTACTTGACTTGGTGACTGAAAGAACTCTCTTCTCCGGCGCGTTCTTCGCAAACCATGTTACAGTGCTATATCATTGTGCTGGGACTAACTTCACACAGTAAAATACGGTTGTTGTGGTAGATTTAAGAATCTGGTAGAGATGGTTAACATTTTGTTCCACCGTCGTTCTGATGCAGTTAAGTTCTGGGGGCGACTTGCAGGAACGATAAGCGTGCTCTGAAGGATCGAGTGCGGGAGATGGAATTGTCCTACGAAGACATCATTCGCTCTTACAAGTTGGTACTAAGCACATCCAGCTTGTCTATAACAGGCAGCCGTGCAGTGCTCGATTTTTCATTAGTCCTTTTTCTTTTTTTAAAGCTAACATGTTTGGGTATCATGGTGCAAATTTGATTAAATGATTTTGCATTGTTTTCAGGAGCATGCCAAAGAATCCACGAAGATGCGCCAAGAGTTTGATCAAAAGTCTAAAGAGCTACATCAAAAGTCTGAACGGAAGGTATTATTTTATCCTGTTCTGTAGTACTGACTTGCATTGTTCTGAGCAGCATCACACCAGCAGTCAGCTGTTTAGTTTTCTACATGTCTAACAATTTTTTTGTAATTCAGCTCAAGTATAGTTTCTTTGATTGACTGTTCAAATGCTATGAGTGATGGCTTCCTGCAGATCAAAAATCTACAAGAAGAAATGGACTTGCGCCGAAAAGCAGAGATTCAGGAGATTGAGGAGAGGAAAAATTTGCACAAGCTGGAATTGACGAAGAAACATGAGAAAGCATTTTCTGAAATAAAATGTTACTACAATGATATCACCCACAACAACCTGGACTTGATTAAAGTTCTGAAAGTATGACAATGTGTGCCATGATCCTTCAAGCTGCGTCTTGCACCAGTTACCTATAATGTCCAAGTGTTCCTTGAAACAGGAGTGTTTAATTACATCACAACTTCAAATTTCTTCCCAATCAGTTGCTGTGAGTACTGCAGGAAGACGTAGCGGACATGAAGAAGAAGGAGGCCGCAAATGAGAAATTAATGTATGAGATTGCGCAAGGGAACAAAAAGCTTACCGAGCCTCTGACGAAAGCACTCAAGGAAGTCGAGGTTCTGAGATCTTGTCTGACAAACTACGAAAAGGTAACTATTCCTATAAGTCCTTAACATTAATAATGAATCTGAATGCTCAGCTTGAGTTTCCCTTTTCATTTGACATTTCAATGTGTTTATTCTCCTCCATTTCTAGTAGTTTTTCGTTCTATAATATCTGTGGCTAGTTGAAGTGCAGGACAAACACTTACTTGCTCAGACAAGTTCAGGACTGAAAGAGAAGACCAGAAAACTTAAGCAACTGGAGTGGGATTATGAGGTCCTTCAAAGAGGATGTGAGCAAGTAAGCTTCGTTATGGTCTCAAGAATACCATGTCTGTTCTTTTTCCCGTACCAGTGGAGTAAAACAAACAAGGGCATCGAATCTATCCAGATTCATCCATATTTTGAAATTTCGTCCATCGTAAATGACTGTCCAACCCCTTCAAATTTTAGTCATCAAAGTGTCAAGGTGCCCTCATGACGCACAAATCGTGAAAGAAGCATTTCAAGATCAGAAAATGCTCAACTTCTTCATACGAGATCCAAATTAGTAGGTGGTGAGCGAGGGCCCTTGTACAGCCACTACAACACGTACCCCTACAGAAGTCCGTCTGTTTTAATCGATTAGATTTGGCATATGAGATACTATTTTCATCTTGTCTGTAATCGCCTACACCATAGCCTTCATAACAGGGAAACAGGCAAGAATAGTCTCTAAATAGAGCATGTTCTATAATAAACTGGTGCTATTGTCCTTGCTACATTCCAAGAATCAGATGTCTTAGATTATGCATTTTGGCACTCATCATAGAGCTCGTACTAAGTATTGTTGTCGTGCTCCCTGAATTTCTCGTCAGCTACAAGCGGAACGTGATGAAATATTTGCTAAGTTTGAGAGTAGCATCCATGACGTCCAACAAAAAAGTGGGGTCAAGAGCTTGCTTCTGGAAAAGAAAATGCAGATTCTGGAAGAGAAGCTTGAAAAGAAGGTTACATACTCGAATCAATTACACGTCTTTGATTCCCTCGAATGTTTTGCTACTTCTGAAATAGTTTACAAATTATCATGTTCGATAGAAAAAATTCGTATAAACGGATGCAGTCAAAATTAAGAAAGAGTAATCTAGTAACTCTCTCTATGTACTTGGATCAACGTTACAGGAAGCGCAACTTGGAGAGGCAGGGGTGAAACTAGATCCTAATTCTGGTATAGCTGCTGTTCTCGAATCAAAAAACAATTTGATCAAGTCCCTACGTTATGACCTTGGAAAAGTTACGAAGGTAATTATCTGGTCAGAATGCTTAATGTGAATTTAATGTGTGAACATGTTTATACTATACACATGTTGATGCCTTATTCGTGATAACGTAGTTAACGCTTGTGGTTGATAGGCGCATAATGACGTAATTCAAGCATTTGAAGCAAAAATGGCAGAGTATGGGATCCCACTTGAGGAAATGGGTTTGCCACACTATATTTCCAATGTAATGAGCTGAAAGGACGACTGTGAATAGCTTTTTGTTTCAGACATTGCATCTTGAATTAAAGCAAATATAAGTTGTGCAACGAACACTACCGTAGATTTGACTGGCGATTGATGCCCATTTGGTATCGCTACATGTACCCTTGACAAATTAGCAACTAGAGTCAAAGTTTCATTCGATGTTTTTGTGCAATTGCGCTGAAGCTGTTATGCGCTTGAGTTGGATTTGATGCAGAGTATGTAGGCGCAGAGATAGATATTTTTAGCGACAGAATGTGTTGAAATTCTCATGTGCCCTAAGTCTTCTTAGAAACATTATGCTTTTTCTTATTATTACGGTCAAAGTTTCAACCGAATGACACTCTATATGCCATGGTTGCATTTGTGAAGCTCTGTCTCCATTGGCTCTATCTCTAGTTTGAATTCGTGTTTTTTTACAGCCTTTACGATGGAGTTGAATCTACGTCTTTTGTGTATTGCGTAGTTTGTTGATGCACCTGTTGCAGCTGTGAGGGAGCAGAGCTTTGAATGGCCTCTTATTGCTTCGAACAGAATCTCGTCGCATAGATGAACCTTGATATTAAACATGTCCTATGTGCCCATGCCAACCCAAACTCGAATAAGAATTGCAACCCAGGCTTTGAGTGCAGCAACAAGCACACGGCATACAATTGCTCCACGAAGTCTAAACTGTGTTCATGGTGTTGGGAAAACTTTGTACCTCCCTGCCCCTCAGACGAGTTTCTGAATCATGCAATTACCTTCAGTTCCTTTCCTCTCATCTCAAAATGGTATCATGTGTAATTTTCCACCTGGCCAAACGGTCGCAACAAGTTCCTGTTGTAAATTGATGGCAAATGCAAGAACGTAGAAAGTATCCGCGAGGTAAGGCAGTGAGGTATTGTATGCGATACACCTTTGTTAGGGCTACTACTTGTAATGCATGTCTTACCAACTGAAGAAAGTAAGTTAAGGGAATCAATTCTTCATTATTGACGTGCATCAGATTTGCTCATTGCTATGGTGTCCTGATGCAACGGCTTGTCGAACAGAGATGGAGACCCCAAATTGAATTGTAGTCCAGATAAGGAGAAAGTTAGGCTATGAGTATCGTGTTGTGAAGTTCATGAAAATTTCGGCGAGAGTTGCATTATTACCATCACCCTCACAAGCACCATTTGAGTTTTTTAAATTGGTAGTTTTTGAGACACTGCTAAGTGGATACCAGCACCAGGATTCAGTAAAAGTTTGAATTTTGCATTCGTGACAACGTTGCAGCCCAGTTGGGCACAGAAGGAAAGTGTGCGCGGCAACCTTGATGCATCAAGAGGTGTCTTCCGATTGAGTGTCATTCCTATTTTGCTAGAGAGGTCCCAAACCAAACCGTCAGTTTCTTGTAGTGAATTTGTAGCGATTTCGAGGGGGAATTTCAACTGAGATAGAGTAGGCATTGAATTTCAATTCGCTTCTTCACTGAGCCTCTCTTCGGTTATGAATCAGTTGCCTTGTGTGACACGTAAGAATCTCCGGGCGAGTGCATGAAAGGATGAGCAGCTCAAGCAGCCTCCGTAAGGTTATCGGTTCCATCAAGGATACCACAAAAGTTGGTGTAATCGCACTTAATAGCGACTACAAGGTAAAGAGAAACCGTTGTGATTGAACAGTTCTTCTTCAGAGTACGCACTCACTAATAATGGAGTCTACATTGCAGGACTGTGTAATCATCTGTCGTGAGGCACTTCCTCTGCAATTTTGAAATTCTTAACGAAGTAATGGATTAGGGAACACCTTTTTCAGGTTTGGCTACAACTTTGATTAGCCGATGACAACAATGACAATGAGAGCGAATTACAGGAACTCTTCAGTCTCCAATGCCATCTTGAATCCGCGTGTGTAGCTTCGAATGAGAATTCGGTTGCTATACTTAGAGCTCGGAGTATGTAATGCTGTAGGGGGGTCGAACCAAATGAACCCATCTAATTCCGTCGTTAATAACGTAAAGGATTGCAGGAGCTTGAGATCGCGGTGGTGAAAGCAACCAGTCATGTGGAGTGCCCACCAAAGGAGAAACATGTGCGAAGTAAGTAGCTACTTTTTTTTATTCAACTGGGATTGTTCATGCCTGGTAATCATCTTTTGATAATCGCATCGTCTTCGCTTCACCGAAACAGAATGATTGCATCAAAGCTTGATCTATCTTAAGTAGACAAAGCACATTGCGGAAACATGAGGACGTCTTTGTCTGCTAAATTCGTTAGCGATCTTTATCCTTATGCACTTTCCAAGTTTTTCTGTCTGATCGTGGATGAAGAGTCGTACAACCCATGGTCATCTCAAAAACTGCATAGTAGCTGAGATGTTGGATGCTGGCAGCTATATTTTTGGCAACATCATCATCGAGACCGCGAGCAGATGTGGCGTATTGCATTCACAAACTTGCAAGACGCATTGCCAAAACACACACATGGACGGTATATTCTTCGGTCTGAATTATAGAAACCTTGAGATTTGTCATGTTCCGAAGGTACAGTCTGGGTCTCCCGGATCCTAAAAAATCGGGTACCACTGCTTCAATCAACAGCATATGTAGCAGATCTCGTAGAACGTGTGCACACTTCGCTCGAGTAACTTTCGTTCGTGACCCATGATTTCTGTTGAATTGTAGACCTTTAAAATTTTGCTTGGACCAATGATAATGATCCACAACGTAACATGTAATTAGGAATAACCAACAGAGTGAGTCAGTCTCCCTCTTTGTGAGGCTATTGTGGTAGTGATTACGTAGGTATTTTCCGTTGGGCAGGTTGCATTGAAGTCAATGATGGTGATTCACAGAACACTAAGGGAAGGAGATCCCACTTTCCGAGATGAGCTTCTCAATTATGCCCGTAACCGAGGACATGTTCTAAACCTATCCAATTTCAAGGATGACTCTAACCCTAGTGGTAAGTCATGGTTCTTGATGTACGCAGCAACTGCTCACAACTTGGTATGTGCTGCGCACTTAAATATGTTCGAAAGTGGTCTCGCCGCTGCCGAATTTACCAGGTTGGGAAGAGCATCATGCTTCAATTACAACAAGCTTTGACGTGTACGTGTCATCAATTTGTCAATGCGTTGGATCGAACTTGTGCAGCATGGGACTACTCAGCATGGGTGCGCACATATGCCTTATATCTTGAAGAGAGACTCGAATGTTGTCGTGTTTTGAAGTATGACGTTGAAGCTGAGCGAACATCGGTAAGATTCTGTCTGCTCTTGAGGATGATCACACCTGCAAAAAACAGTTGTGTGCGCTACAACCACATTTCGGAGGGTGCAGCAATACGTATACATGTCAAATTCCCCTTTCATTTGCAATAGTATTGCCAATTGATTGCTGTGTTTTGTAAATCTCATCTCATCTGTGTCATGGAAAGTGCTTGGGTTCTCGTGTTTTTTTAAAAAGAAAATTGAACTTTTGAATTCATTATTGTTTTAATGCCTCTGGTGCAATATCCTATAAGATCTTTTCTTATTGGGTGTTATAATTAAAGGTATCTGGCAGAACCACAGTCGGACGAGGGAGCTTGGTACTGATGAATTGTTGGAGCATCTGCCTGCATTGCAACAGCTCCTGCACCGACTTATGAATTGCCAGGTATACGGGTCACCGACTGTAATGGCAATAGTTTCTGGAGTGCGGATGGCCGACAGAGGTGTGAGGAATTTCAGAAAGATGATTCATCTTCTCTTCAGTGTGTATGGTCAACTTCACTGAAACCTTACATCAAAACTTCTATCAACTTGTCCAACGAAATCTGTCCATCAGGTCCTGAGATGCAAGTTCCCGCTTATAACTTCACAAGCTCATTGTTAGAGTTTTGTCATCGTTGGTCAGCAGTATGCACAGTCAAGCTCATTTCTATTCACCAGATGACCTTGGTATATACGCATTGCAGCCCGAGGGAGCAGCGATCTCAAATTATGTTATTCAAGCAGCTTTGAGCTTGGTGAGCAATACTTTAGTTGGGTGGAATTTTACGCTTCATTTTTGGACTGTTGTGAGCACTGTCTCTTCTGGCATCATTTTGTCGTCCAAGTCTTGGAAACATTTGCATGCAGTACATGTACATTGTACACGTACATTCTGTCCTCATTCATCAATTTCAGTCCAGAAGAAGATGCTGTCTAAAGATTTCTGTGTTTCAGTGTCTAAAGGAGAGCTTCAAGATTTACCGTGCGATTAATGACGGCATCATTAACCTGGTAGACAAGGTATAAAAGATATTTCAAGGACCATTAATTCTTTTCTGTAAATCGTCCATCACAGTATTGTCCGAAACGCGTATTTAGATGGTATAAACAAATACATTTCAAGTGCTGCAGTTAATGGTGGTGGTTTCAAATGATGAGGTGATATTAGGCAGTAAAGGCACTTCCAAGCCTGAATGCCAGCTTTAAATTCCTTAACTTTCTCAGAATGCTAATACTTAAATATGGCACGATTTCATCAACCAGTCCTTAACTCCTTCATATTGCTTGCATGTTTCAAATTAGCTACCTGTGGATGTGTACGCAGTTCTTTGAAATGACTCGAAACTACTCAATAAACGCTTTGGAAATCTACAAACGAGCAACCCTTCAGGTTTCTCATCGACTGGAGTTTCACAAAATCAATAATAAAGACAAATGCTGCGCAGTGTAGAACTTTTCTATTTCTGGTCATGGAACGAAGCTAATAAGTACCCTGCAAGCATAACCTGTACTACTGAATACACTGATCAAGTGTACATGGAAAATTTAATTTTGATTGCCTAGGCTCGTGCTAAAAACTTCTTGTCATAAATTCTGATATCCTAAATAAACCTATAAATCTAGGCGACAAAGACGATGTCAAAATCAAAAAGTGATCAGCTTCCAACCACTCGACGTTGACTACTAAAATTTAACCCTGCAATTAGCCTGAACTAATACTGTGATGCGGTCGAACATTCTAAATCAAACCTTCAATCATTAAACGTCCTCTCACTATCAATCAAGTTTTCAGTGTAGGAGCCAAATATGATGGACCTAAGATTTTGCAGGCTGCAAGACTTGTGGAGTTTTTCGAGATGTGCAAAGGCTTGGACTTTGCTCGTAATTTTCAATTTCCTCATCTAGAGCAGGTTTGAGTCGCCTCTAAAATGCTTTTTGATTGTTGCTAAATCATGAATTCGGTTTTTGAATGTAGTCTGTCTAGGAAGATACGACGAGATATGGAGTGCTGGAATTATGCTGTTCTTTTTCTCAACAGCAGTAATTTCTTTTTCAGCCCCCAAAGTCGTTTCTTTACACCATGGAAGACTACATAAGGGATGCTCCCCGCATTCAAGAGGTAATGCTTTCGAATGGATCTGAGTAGACTATCATCCTTATTTGTATTATTTGTATCCAATTAAGTCATGAAATATGCGAGTGTTAGGAGAGTACCAAACATCCCTGAGTGTGTAGAGCTTCGCCTTAATTCTTTCCTTACAGGAAGTTGACGAACGCTATCCCAAGATGCTAACCGCATCCGGTTACACAAGCAACGACGGTGCAACACCTCCAGCTGTTCAGCCGATGGCTGAGGAATTCTTCACTCCACCTCGATCCGTAGAGTGGGATCTAATGGCAAGTCCCATGACACAGACTTCTCTGTTTTCAATGTCGACGATCCTTGAAGAACACGGCTCAAACGGCATCTACTGTAGTACCAGAAGTTTAGAAATGCAGAGAGGTGGCACATTAGCTCTGAGAAAAAAAAATGAAAAAAATGCATTATTTCCGGGTAGACATTCCTGGGAATTCACTCTTAACACTTGTCCAAGTATGATTCCATTGCTAGCCTAAGGTCGATTGCACATAAGTCAATGTCTTGAGCGTGCTCTGCACAGGAATTGAACGATGTGTTGCAGGCGGAAAACAATTCATCGAATTCTGGTCTTTACTCACCAAGTAATCCTCACTTGAACTTGAAAAAACATTTAAACCACGGTTATGCCAGTGCAAGAGATGTAAAGATAAATTGGTTCCTAACTTAGACTTTGCTTCATGAGTGTAAGCAAGCATGGCCGGGTGGATGGGTGTAATACTTCATAAACATCCTCTAATAGACTTGGATATGCACACGTGGGTAGAAGTCCCAGAGTCCGATTGGAAATTGCAATTGTACTTCGTGTACGAATTTAGGGGAACAGTGATGACAGGGACATGCTCTCAGAATAATTGTTGACCTCGTTGCACATTCAGGTACAGCGCAGCCACCGCAAGTCACGGGTTGGGAACTTGCTCTTGTTTCGAACTTAGGAACCCGTGCTGCCAGTGCATCTGCTCCCAGTGACAGGGTACTCCATCCTTCCCTTATCGTATGTATTAGTCCATGCCTTTTTTATGACAGATTTACGTATCTCTGATTGCATGATCGTGCTTGCACTTGGGGACACAACGTTTCTTCGGTCGTCTTCGAGATGACTCTTCCAGGATGAGACGATGGCAGTGTTCCAAGCTGATAAGGCAATGAGTAAATGAGCGGAACAGTCCAGTCTTTCGTGGCTTAAACTGCCGACTGATCTCCAGCACTTTCGGAGCCGGACCTGAGCATGGAAACTCATGGTGAGCTTTCGTGTGTACACGCAGGTGTCTGGTTTTGATAAGCAGTTGTTGAACAGCTTGTACGATGACGCAATGCAAAGAACATTCCAAGCAGCAGGGACCCAGAACAGCGCTAGTCCAGTCTCATCCGGATCAACAAACCCCTTCGAGGACATCATTTTCGCATCCAGCAACTATGCGCTGGCATCCCCGGTGGCGCACCGAGATCCCTTCCTACGCCAGCAGCAGCAACAACATAGGCTGTCCAGAATGTCGAATAACAATCCTCCTCCCTCTGGCAACAACCCCTGGGGATTGTCGCCAGTGAGGAGCCCCCAGTCGTCAACTTCACCACCACCTCAGCTGGCGTTGCCACCACCATCCAAGTATCAGCGGGAGGGTGGGTACTTTGACAGCAATTCGCTGCGAATTCCCAACTTGCTGTGATTGCTGTGCATACATTTGCAAGTGATTGCTGTGCGCACACACACACACACGCACACGCACAAGGAAGTGGACAGTGGAAAGTGTTGGAGCTCTCTCTCCCTCCCTCTCTCTCTCCTTCACTCTGTTTCAGGGGCAGGAGCGGGCGAGCGGGCAGGGAAGCCCATGGGACGGGCAGGGCACACAACCTCTCCATCACACACATGAATCAGCCCCCAGACGGCACCGGCACGGGCAGCTGGCTTGAGAGTGCGGTCGGCAGGAGAGAGGGGCAGGGGGGAAGAAGCAGTAGGCCCAGAAATGGGTCCATCCACAAATTCCTTCATTCATCTGCATGAATAATAATGGGGGGGGGTCAGAACGGAGCAATGGCCCCCGCCACCACTTCCGTTTCTGCATGAGAGTGAGGCCCTCCTGACTCCACAACATTCGTCCAGACCCCCCATGGAACCAACCCTTGTTAATATGGATGATGCTTCTATTTCAAGCAGACCCCAATGCTTCACAACTAACAATCCGCATTTTGCTATTCCCTCCCTTACAAGGGAAATCATGTCACACACTCCATTATATTTCTAATATTTTATTTATTATTTTATTTTATTTCAACACCATGTAGAGGACTCCTGGGTAGGGTAGAGTATATTATCTTGGATTGTTGTCATGTGCATTGGTTGTAGTTTCTTGCTAACTTACAAACACTCATTCCAGTGCAGCCAACCAACATAAACCGTGACATAAACCTTGGCAGGGTTTATCCATTTCTTTTTCACTCTTGGTTTGAGTTTTTCTTATCCTTTTTTTTTACTTTTTTTTCATTCCAAAGAAGTAGAACTATACAATCATAATATATATTTCTTTTATCTCATCATTCTGTAAAATGTAATTTACAAGTATTTTAGTTCTGAAAATGGCACAAATATATACACTTTCATTGAAAGAGATGAATATAATTTTCACACAATATTAGGAGTTATCTTTGTCAAAATCACTTCTAAAAACAATGATCCACTTTAAGCTCAAATGTTTTTGTATTGTACATTTATACACCTTTGAACAACCCTTCAAATATACTAATTTATTGATGAACTCTGCACTATCCTATTAAGATTGACTCATACCTAGTTGAGGACAAACTTGGTACTTTGTCCGAATTGCAAGAATTTACAAATGCCTTTGTAGGTCTTCAAATTACTTTGAATAGTGCTATGTGCTAATGGTATCCAATGTATTATAAGACAGCAACATAATTATTATTGTGTGTGGAAGAGAAAACTAAAAAAGTTTTATTTTTAAGAATCAATTGGATTCTTGCATTTTAACTAAAAAGATTTAGAAAAAGGGTTTTTTTTTTTTTTTTTTTTTTTTTTTTACTATTCTAAATTACAGACACAGATTGCAAGTTCTGTTTCTACATACATTTTTCCCGTCAAAATAATACATTTTCTAGAATATTTTTTCCGGGGTAATCATATTATATTTAACTTGTTTTGAAATTTTTATGTTCTAAAAGATGCTGTTATTTCTTCTGCAAGTTATTTTGTATCTATAAACTAATGCACTGCACAGTTGGGTTTTTTAGAGGATAGTCACTGCTGACACTTGACTATTTTACAGAGTTTGAATTCTAATTTAATCTCATTAAAATTTTAGAGCAAATAAAAAAATAAAAATTAATGAATCTTAAATAATAATTTCCGGGGCATATATTTTTTTGTAGTAAATTTATTATAGATTTATAATAAATATTGAAAAAACACCTAAACAATTTCAATAATAATCATAAAATTGTAGAATAGATGGTTGTCTAATCTTCTTTAATTTACATATTTATAGTCCAAAATTTTGATATTTAATCTAGAATAACTTTTTTTTTTTTTTTTTTTGACATCTACATAGAGTTATTTAGTGCAAGTAGTAAATAACCATCTTGTTAGTACTAAACATTATAAGTAGCAAGATACTAACAAGATGGTTATTTACAACCAATTTAATAATTATAATATGAGAGCATAAATGTATTTTTTTGTTGCTTTCTTATATGTAACAATTCAGAATTGTGATTATTCTAACCAACAATTTTTATTTTGAAATAAGTTTAGTTGGTGCTATAAAAAATAAAAAAAATAAAAAAAGATTAATTTGGAAATAAAATTGTTAGAATAATTGTTTTAGCACTTATGTATTGTGATCATCAATTGGTTGTTAGAATATAGTGCTGTTAAAATAAAATTCTAAAACAAGTAAGAAACTAAGAAATTTGATGTTATCCAAAGACGATTTTAGAATTTTGAAAAGAAATTTTTTTAAAAAATAATTAATTAATATTTATAATTTCGGCATTTTTTGTTGACTGAATGAGTCAAAATAATAATAATAATTATAATAATAATAAATCTCATACCAATATTATTTATTTTCAATAAAAAATATTCAAAACAGTTCTTTTTTATTTTGATAAGATTTTACGGTTTGAAAAAATCCAACTTTGAATAGAGGCTCCTAAGATTATTTTTTAAATCTTAAAAAGATGTAATTCAAAATATAAAAAATCTTTAAATAATACACAGCTATTAGCTAAGTTATTTAATGTTTAATAATGAATACAATTCCAACTAAATTTCTACATTTAAAAAATAATATGTTATAAAACATGTTTCAGTGCATGTATGTAAGAATGAAAGTGGAGTAATAAATCAAAAACTTCATATAGGTTAATGTTATAAAAAATTAAAAATAAAAATACTTGCAACCAAGTCTTATTTTTAAAATGTAGAAGAAAAAAGGTATATATATATATATATATATATATGTGTGTGTGTGTGTGTGTGTGTGTATTATTAAATATAATTTTTAGATTTAATTTATAATTTTAAAATTTTGTAAAATTATTTTAATAGATATCATTATTTTTTAATTTTTTTTATATAAGATTGGTTTAAGTAAAATACACAAATATTATTTTTAAAATAACAGGTTCTTCACACCTATATAATAATTTAAATATTTAACATATTTAACATATGAAAAACTAGTATACTGGTTAAGAGTATTATAAGATAAGTTTAAAAAAAAGTTATATTACTACTCAAAACTTATTTATTTTTATTGAAAGTTATAATATTATTCAACATTCAAGTATGTGTAACCAAACATCTGCCACCTTGTGTACAATAGCATTGCTATAATCTTTGGTAAGGTCATATATTTAAAGATTATAAAATTTAACTTATTAATTGAAAATCTTCGATTTATGTATTTTAATTTAATTCTTATACAATTATAAAATTATTATTTTTTAATTTTTTATAATAATATTATTAAAAAAATAGGTGATATTTTTATGACTATTAAAAAGTTGGTGGTATTCCACAAAACAAGCAAACAAACCATAGAACAAGAACAATTAACAAACACTTAGAAAGAATAAAAAGAAAAAACTTGAGATCTCATCAATGTTATAGCACCACCAAACTTTCTTAAAAGACTTTAATTTTATGTAGTACAATAAGTATTTTCTACTGCGAAATTCCAATGTTCCCCCACTACTTTGAATTAATTCCAAATAAAGATATAACTTATAATATTTTTCCAACTTAATTGCATGTATTTTTCAGAAGTATTTTGAGGTTTGCTTGTTTGGCGTAATTCCTTGGAACATAATCATATGTTATCCAGGGGCTTTCCAAAGAATAGTTATTTTTATAAACGAGTATGTGAATTATTGCTAAGAATACATATTGTGTTGAAGTCATTTCTTACAATGTGAATTGACAAGTTTTATACCCTGTCCCAGCTACATGTTTCATGCAACAAAACTTCATACAAAAATAGTTAAGTTTAATTCTCTGCAAAGGCATTTTATCTATCAAAATCTGTTATTTACATACATTTATTTACATTAGATTAATCCAAAATATTTACATACATACATATATGCAATGCTATAACACATGTTCATTTGCAACCTAGTTGCATAGATTTCAAAATGCTACAATAAATTATACTTGATTGTAATAGTATGATTTTGGTCTTGTGTTATGATCATGGTAGTAAGATGTTCTTTGAGAGGATGGGACAACCAATATTTATGTATGTTTTTAATCAAAACCTCAGAGCAAGAGTATGGCAATGAAAAGATTAAGTTAAGTTGGAAAAGTCCAAGCAATCCAGTATAAACAACTGCAGTAGCAGGTTTTTTTTTTAATCCTAATGAATTTTAATAATAAAAATTCAAAATAGTGGTTGAAAAATTGATGCATTCAAATCGATTCAAGGATCTAAAGAGTGAAAGTAAAGCAGTAAAGACAGAACAGTGCTTGAGAATGCTTGAAAGTAGTTGAAAAATTGAGTGAATGGATTAGTCTTTGTTGAAATATCAAACTGAAAATATAAAAACAGAGGTTTCATAGTGAGAATTTTGATTTATTGCACAAAAATTTAGAATCAATTCTAACAAAAACTTGGAAGTTTTCTTTTTTCTTGATGAGATACAATTACAATAAAATAATTGACTTATTTATTCATATCATCAATAAAGAAATATTACATTAAACTGATGAACATTTGGGAAATAATATTTAAAGGAATAAACAAAGTGTCGCAATGTTGGTAAATTATCAGGGTTCATTATGTACTGAATGTTACAACCATGGTTGCAACTAATTTAAACTTCATTCAAAATTTTGTAACAAAGTAATTGCAGTGGGTGACCAGGTTGCACATACATTATAACAAGTTACATCAACCAAAAATATAATGTTCAAAGATAAAAAATTAATTTATAATTATGAAGACATGTAAAAATCACTATACATAAAAAAAACGTCACTATTGACAAACAAAGATTTACTTTGTAGCGAGAGAGCATCACAGACAATGCATGTCTTTTTGGGAGTTATCCGATGAGTTGGTCCCTCAGATTCGGCCGGAAAAAACAGCAATAAATGATGATGAGATTAGACAACAGTTAAGGGGTGGGGGTGGGTGGGGGTTGGAAAGCCAGAAAGGAATGCAACAGAAGACGAGGATGGTGAGTTGCGGTGCGACGACGGTGCTGCTCATTCGAATGAAACTAGTCTGGTGAGTGTCGATGTGAGTGTTTACGAGGAAGGCCACCCCGCAAGGAGGAGGAGCATCCGAGGGCGGGAGGGAGGACAGGGTGCAGCTCAGCAGAAGTAGTGGTTGCTGCAGAAGAAGCAGCAGCAGCAGGGAGAGCAGTGGCAACAATGTCCAGGCGGGAGGGGTTCCAGGTAAAGGAGGAGTGTCAGTCAGGCTGGGCGAAGGAAAAACTTCCAGGTTCTGTACCACCACCACCACCTCGCCTCCCTCGCCTCCCTTCCTCCATTGCCTCCCTGCCTGCAGGACCCCCGCCCTTGCAAGTATTTGTCGTCAGGACGTGGCCCCGTTGCTTCGTCGTGATGATAGAACTGGAGGCGCACTATCGCTCCTCATGTTGTCTTGTTCATTTGGTGGTTGGCCAGACGGTCCGGACTTCACACACTAAATTCCAGCGCATTTACACTTCTTAAATCCAAGACTGTCCTCAAAAACTGTATATACATATGTCCTATCAAGGATACCTTTTGACTGCTATATTTCCAATATAACTCCAATCTTCTTCATACATTCAACATTTTTTTTGTTGTTCGTGTTTTCCTGACTTAAGTTTGTTGAACTTTCAAAATATTAAATTTGTCAGAATCATGGAGCGTGAATCATACTGAAATTACTTTTTCATTTGAAGCTTCGGCTATATGTATCACTGTATGAGTTCTACAATTCGCAGCTCCCTTTCCCTTCCAACCTTCGCTTGCGCATCCATGCATTTATGTGCATGCACAAGGGGGTGGTGTTGTGTTCTGATCAGCATTGATTTGGTGTTAGGCACTGGTTGTATCAAATAGCACATGACAGTGGGTTCCAGTTTAAATTAGGATTTAAGTGAAAAGTAAATTGTCCTGATTTCTTCAGAGAATCTTTTGAAGAAAGGAAAGTAAAATAGCAAAATTAATACACGGGCTCCGCGACAGCAGAGCAAAGTTTGCTGGAAATAGGCTGGGTTACATCAGCAGTGAGCTCATACGCTTCACCGGCACACCTCGTTCGCCCACATCATCGAATCTTCCCCAACAAGCCTCCGCTTTCAATTCACCTGCACTTTCTCCCCAGCCACAACTAGCGCCCGGCTCCACCCCAAGCTGAATCCATCCAGGCACCACCTTGCTTCTCCTTCAAGTCGCAATCCCCGATGCATACATAACGGCCACGTTGCTGCTTACACCCTCACATGATGTAGCACGAGACTACTTCTATTGCTGGTTCTGATATAGTTTCACTGCTTTGCTGAGCAACCCAGGATATCGGGTAGGTGGGTGCGGAATGCAAGTTCAGTGCTTTGCTTTCAATCGAGTTAGGCCTCTTGATAGAATATTAATTTCAACGTGCAAGAGCCAGTTGATAGTGGAAAACGTGAACAATCCTGAAGCTTGATAAACCTTGAGAAGCAGCTCTGTGGCATCAAAATCTGTAGCGCAAGGAGAGCGACTGAGTGTGACCACCTTTTTAATGTTGCATCATCGTAGTAGAGTTGCAAGTACCCTGAAGCTGATTGGGGTTGTGAATCAGACCCACTGATTCAAGTGCTACCATTCTGGAAAGATCCAACTTCTCCTGTAGAGGGTTTCTTTTTGTCTAGTTTTCTTTTTTATTCGGCTCTCTCTCCCTCTCGCTCTTATTCATCGTGCTCAGACTAGCCGCAATCGCAACGGCCGGGGCCGGCCAGGAGTTTCGCTATCCGTTACTTGTTTGCACTAGTTGATACGTTTCCGTGCACATGAGGCTATTTACATCAACTTCACGGCGATCCGCTTGTGATCCCGAAGCAAACTCGGACCCAACATATGGCATTGCAGCTCTCTCTAACTCCAAGGTACACTCTCCGTGACAAATGATTCCTGTAATCATCTTCAGTTCTGACAGCCTTGGTTCCCCTTGAAGATCGGGTCCAAGTGTTCACCCTCCTGCGCCATCGTAGAACAACACTACGATGGTTACATGGTGCACCGGAACTGCACGACACTCGGTGATGGCGCCTAGGTAACCTGCAAAAATAGCAAATCAAATTTGTTTTATTTCTCCACTGTTCTTTTTTGGCTACATGGATAGGTATGGCTCGGCATGCACGAGCGGGTTGTCAGATCCGAGGTTTTGGAGGAAAGGAGAATGGACTGTGGAATTCTTTATGTGTCCCAATGTGCTTCTCTATATTTAGCTGTGGTACTTACATAAGCTCCAACAAGTTTGTCTGTCGGGTCGAGGTTTGGGTGGTCGGCTACATTGCGGCATTCTATGGCACAAACTAGGAGTATGTCGAAGCTTGTTAGGGCATTCTTCTGAGCACCACACAAACCCATGTGGGTCACTTGTGGGGTGCATCGTCTGTGCCAACTCATTTTGCTAATGATGTCGGGAGTTCGCACCTTGCGAAACTAGTCGATGGTAGGAAAAGTATTGCGAGAGAGAGAGAGCGAATCGTCCTTTTTGTGTCGATCTCTTAGCTTCTTTCCGGTGCTGGCTCGTCCAGGATCATTCGCCACTATATGTCATAGTGATGATCTATCTGATTTATCCAACTTCCAAACCCTCAGTGGTAGGTGATTGATCTCCTTAACACCTCTTCGAACCTGACGTAGAGGCAGAATCGATGTCTATCTTCAAGATGCCATGTCTTGTCCTCGGCTCTCAATCTTCGATGACTCGCCTCTTGCACCAGGAATGGATTTTGAACACTTTTGTTCTTCCCCTCTGCGATGTTCACGCGATACTAGCGATGAATGCAATATCTGTAGCTAGGTTCTTTGAAAGTCCAACAATGATGAGTGAACCCTTGAACAGTTCATAGTAAATGCGAAGCAGCAACAGTTTCTGAAACTTGGGATTGCTCCCACAAATGTAGAGGCGTTGATCACTTTGAATCTAGTATTGCCTGCTGGTATTCTGGATGTGTAACCATGCGGAGACCGGGCTTGCATTGCACGTGGTATTGCATTGGCGTTTTTCAACGTTCCCCCTTGTTTTTCGCCGTCCTCATCAATTTACACTGAGTGACGTGTTTGGAGCAGTGAAGTTCGGGTATCAGCTTGATCTAGTGTCGAGTGTTGGAAGAGTTGGTCCGAAGAGTAGTGGAAACTTCATAGTTATGAGTATGTCGGACGCGATTTTGTGGTATAGCCACTTCTGTGTCGGTGAAAGAGTGTTCTATCTAGAATACGACCTAAGCTGTTCAGGTTTGGAAGGGTTTAGGGGACGCTTGAGCACACTCTCCAGCAACATGCCCACAGGGAGGGTTATGATCGGGTAATAGTTGAACTGTATTGTGGAAAAATTGCTAGGGATCTCACTGTGAAATCAGGGAATGTTTCCATTTCATCAGGAAAATTCTACTTGATAAATCGCGACTACCTTGCGGCCGTCTCTGTCGAGATAAAGCTGTTAATTGGGGCGATTGCATTATTAGCATCTATTGATCGCGATTCGATTGAAGCAAGTGTCGATTCAATTGTTATTATGAAGTATCTAGACTATCTGGACGAGCTGGGGTCTGATTATACGTTCCTTCTGCCTACCCATTGCTAGGTGCCGGTAACAGGATGGATTCACTGTGAAACAGATTTACGTTCACAGTAGGCAGCCGATTAACTACCGTCCCATGATTGTGACTAAGCACATTACTGCACAGATGGTGTAACTACACATTAGTTTATTTTAAGTCCACCTCAGGTTCAATCTGAAGTACTGGTGATTTTAACTGCTCGGGTAGTTAATTTCTGTTATAATCGCATAGCCAGATTGCGTACATTGAGATAATGTTCTGGTGAAATGTGTACACAGGTAAAATGGATCCAGAAATATGGAGCCAGCTTCCCCAGGAAATGCTTCTGGATGTGCTAGCACGACTCCCTTACGACTACATCCCAAGGCTCCGCGAAGTTTGCAAAAGATGGAAAGAGCTGCTAGTTGCGAAGTACTTCACGGACAGGATTGTATCGGTTCGAAAATCTCAGACGCCCTTCCTACTAGTCTGCGTCAAACGATTCCAGGCCATTGTAGCATACAATCCAGCTCGCAGAGAGTGGCGCGAAGTCTTCATCTGGAAGAAATCTCCTAACTTTTACATACATTCGCTCCGCGCCGCTGGAGGAGGTCTGCTCTGCTTCGAGGGGAACGTGGGCCGCAAGAGGGAAGATGGCGATATTCGGCTCCTCATCTGCAACCCCATTTCCAAGCTGTGGCGCATCCTGCCCCCGCTGCCCTCCGGAATCAAAACCTCAGGCTGCGTCAACTTGGTCGTGCTGGAGAACGAGCCGAACCAGTTCAAGATCCTATTCACGCAAATTCACCAGTTACACGGACAGCGACGCCTTGTCGGAACCTTGTTCGACTCACTGACTGATTCCTGGACTACTCACAGTGAAGACACTACTTTGGAGTCTATCTACCGGAGCGTCTACGTCAATGGCTCAATGCACTATATAGGCTCTGAGCGGGTGCATGAGGACGGCACCTTGATCAGTCGCAGACAAGGCGTCTCGTTCGATCTCTTACGCAAAGTGTTCTCTCGGTTCGAGGCACCATTGGCAAGCGTCAGTGTAGGAGCCAAGAAGTTCATGGAGCTTCATGACAAGCTATCTTTGGTCACATTTTCTACGGTGCCGACCTTCTCCCCCTCGGTGCAGCAATTCGACGACCAAACCGGAACGTGGGTGGAAGTACATGTGCTTCCTCCTGGAACTACCCTCGGCGTTCAGGGCCATGTACCACTTGGTCAAGGCTCTTATCTCTACTTTGCAGATCCCCGCAGATCATCTTTCAACGTCATTTGCTATGATTTGCTGAATCGGGAGAGGTTCGACGTCGACGAGGCATTCCTGGATTTGCGTTCAGAAGGGTACAAATTGTATCATCCTTCGTTATGCTCTGTTTGATTTTGGTGGCCTGCTCCTGGGCTTAAGTTAATTCCTTCCAGAGATGAGGTAATAATTACTTTAGAGGATATCATCTACTATCCTGAGAAAAGCTAGAAGCATGATCGCGTGGTTGTAAAGTCTGGTTCAGTTCTGTCGCTCAGAGTTGAGCTCGTGTGTCTATTGACACACACAATAGTGGTAAGGTTTATTAGGATAGAATCACAGGTATGGCTCTACCATAGAATTAATTACTGGTTAAATGATCTTGATCTGGGTCTCTACATTCCTTGCGACACAATCCGTCGACCTCCACAATTGTGCCTATTTTTCATGACTCACCTGTGAGGTGCAGTTATATATACATATATACATATATATATATATATATATCTATCTATATATATATTCATGGGCTTTTGCACACTTTATCACTTTCAAAGGCGACAAGCGGGGGTTCCAGAGTTCTGGATAATTTCTTACCGCGTTATGAGTTCCATGTGTGGGTTCTGTGATTACTATTGTTGCTCTTCCAGAAGACCATTCAGGATGTTAAGCTCCTGGCTGTGCAATCGCAATCAAAGTTCAGTGGCTCATCGATCGTTAATATATGTTCTCTCGCATGTGCATGATCCTAGACTTGAGTATGCTGAACATTGCCGTTGCCTAGTATTTGTGGTGCTGTTGATGAAATGAATCAGGTTGTAATGGGGAGGGGGGATGGGTGCATTATAAGCGACTCCATCACCATGTACCCTCTGGTCTTGTTGGCAACAGATGCGTTATAGTTGTCAAGTGCAATCAGTTACAAACCGATGAACCTAACGGAACCATTCTAGACTGGACGGTTTGTTTCAGTTGAAGAGCCTCTACAGCTTCTACAATCTTAGAAGTATTGGAATTGCAGAGGACTTGAGGTGCTTTATTTCTGTAGTACCATTTGCAAGTGCGACAGAAAAAAAGTCATGCCACGTTTGAGCTGCGATGAATGGAAGTGTAATATTGACTGGAGAAGAGCATTATTTGTTTACAATTTTTTATATAATATCGTGTACTGCGATGACCCCGTAGATTTCTTCATTTACAAAGTTTGTTTTACTGAAGGGCATGAAGCTTGTGGGTGACTTCGTCATGCACACAAGAGTGTCCCTCAGAAGTAGTACCTATTCCACCTTCTGAAGAGATGGACTTCAGCTCAAATGGATCACGCTTATCTCCACTTTTTGGCAGGTATTCTACTCAGATTGATAGGAAATCGAGCATATTTGGGATCATCTTATTTCATGCTGAGGAACACACTTTATCATGCTCAGCTTGACGATCCAATTACAAAACTTTTGCAGTCCCAGGTGTGCATTGAACTGATTTCATGGACTCGAGATTATTTCTGCGACCATCCTTAGCTTCAATGCCCAAGGCAGACAGACACAACTCCGCGTGAGGTCCAGAGACAGGGCAACTCTGATGAGGTTGCCGATCGCATTTCGCCTCGGGCATTGCTGAAATGAAGTTGGATAAACAAATGTCATCATATTTCATAAGTGTACATATATGAGGCCTTGTTCCACGAAAAAAAATTCGTCACTGTCTATTCATGTTGCAACTATAAAATTATTAAATAGTTTGTATTTAATATTAGAATGATTTCAATTCTTTAAAATACAATTACAAAATTTGAAATTATAAAAATAAAAATAAAAAAATAAAAAATCAGCCCATAAAATTTGTCCTGATGACTCTACAATATGTGTTTCAACCAAATATAAGTTACAACAAATTTCGTAACTGTTTTGGTGCAAGCTCTGTTACGAATAAGAAATAAATAAATAACTAAAATGGGAGTTCTTTATTATTCTTAATGTTATATTTGAAAACTTGTATTTTCAAACAAAGTTTTCCTTCTGTAGAATCATGTATTGGTAGGGTGGACCAAGTTCTCAAAGTCCTGTACAAAACCCCCACAATGCAGCAATTGACTGGCCAAGATTAATAAATTAACAAATGAAGTATGGCAAATTAAAATTTGAATAAAAATCAAAATGTGTTTGCAGTCAATCACTTCATGATGACACCTTTCCAACAAGAAACACTATGATGTACAAGTCATGCTTGACTCTTAATCCACAACTTACTTTGATTTAGATACAATTACAAAATACATATATACATAGATGTACATAGAAGCAGCAATCATACAGATGTTGGCTCTTGTATAATTCTAATCTGAAACAAGAAAGTGATGGAGAACATGAAGTTGCTTTGAAGAGCTTGCAATGAAGACAACAATCCTGTTTTGCCAAAATTAGTAATAGGACTTTTCAAAAATCCTCTACATTTCTTTTAAAATTCCATATGAATGCTCAACAACCATACATGTTGATGATTACTTAAAATTAAACTCATCATATAGTCTACAAAGTTGAATTCTAGGCCAAGGCACAAACAAATTCTTATCACCAATATCTCATTCATTGGCTACAATCAACACACTAATATCAACATCTTTAATTTTTATAATTGCCCCATTCAATCTTCTTCCTACAATCACATCTTGAAGTGATTTGACATTAAAGGTACATAAGAATTATATATTAATCCAAGAATGTTCACAAAAACATCTATAAATTGGGCTTTGTGATCTACAATGGCTTAAAGTATTGTAGAATAATTATGATCACAACTATACCAATTTGTTAATGTACATCTTAAAAGTAGATCAAATAAAACATGAAAATTATTAAGAACACCACAACATTGTGATATGCCATGAATATTTTCAAACTTATGTTTTAATTTTGATAAAGTTTTTTTCCATGGCTATTTTAAATATAAAGAAAAAATAATATTGATTAAAGTAGTAATAAATTACTTACAAGCTATAGTACTTGTTGAGTCATCCACACCAAAAAGTTTATTCATAGAGTCATAAGTGTCTCTAATTCAATGCAATGGCAATTTGTTTACATACTTTCATGAATTGCCATATAATATTAATTAGTCTAAGAAGAAAATTCCTCTTAAATCTTTATGTACCAAATTACAAATGCATAGAAAAGTTGAAACAAATAGTTAAAAAAATTGTCAAAAGTGTTCAAGATCTTTTTGCATCACCAAAGTTGAAAATTGTTCCTACTAGTGATTTTTACATAGCTTGATATAATAAAGACCATGCTTTGATCCAAATATATTCTTCTTCTCAACCTTGTAAAAAAAATATTTCTTAAATTATTTCTTTACAATCAATAAAATGAATCTAAAAAAATGATAGAAAAAATTTCTTCAATTTTTATTTGTATTTTGAAATTACCAAAATTGATACTTTTGGTATATTGCTTATTTGATTCATTTTAAAATATTCTATAAATTTTTAATTATACTATAATTCTAATAGATTTTATTGCCACATCCATAGCAACAATTTCAACTCTAATATTGTGATTGTCTACGTTGCGTGACTTTTAGAAAAAAAAAGAAGATAATAATTAATTTTAAACCAAAAATAAATATAAATATTAAAAAAAATCAATCATTAAGATTATTGATAAAAAAATAATAATAATCAACCAAATGATGATACATAAAATAATATTGATCTCTCAATGGTCAATATTTTTATATAATATAATAGAATATGCTTAAAATAAGTAAGTAATAAATAATAAATCAAATTATTACTTATTTAAAAGGAAATTTCTAATACTTTCATGACATCACTCAAATTAAGAAGAACATTTATATAACCATATCCCATAGCAATGGCACTATCCATTCTCTCATATTCATATTTCATCATATCAAGATGGTACAATTCTTTTAAATCTATTATTTCTTTGTGGCAAATATCTTCTTGATCATGCCCACAAGTAATAGCTTAAAGAAATTCAAGCCTAATCTTATCTATAGAAGCTAATACACATTCTTCATTCTTAAGAATACCTTTCTAGACTTTAGTCTTATCTCAAGACTTTCTAATTTTTTTTATTTTTGGCAATAGTCATTCTAATTCAATATATTATCATTTTTGAATAATTTTTTAGTCTTTTTGAGTAATACAAGAGTATGTTAAGGGTTTTTTTTTGAAATTCATATCCTTGAGATTTTGGCAAGAATGCTAACTTATTTTTTTATCTTATTTTAAAAGTAAATGGATTATTCTACTCTATTGTTGTGTTTTGAAGCTTGCAGATTATCCACCTTCAAACAAATAATTTAGTTTTGTAATATTGATTTTTTTCTTAAAGAGAGTAAATTATCCCTGTATGTGGAAATTTTCATTTGATATTAAAGGCTACACATAATCCTTCTCTAATTTAACTTTTTGAATTTGTTTGAGTTATCAATAGAAGAAAAGATTATAGATGCTACTTTTAACAAAATTGAGAATAGATTTACAAATATTGCTAATCTTTTTAAGCTTTTCAATACTCTAAGAATAAAATTCTCTCATATTTTCAATGTGAATCATAGAGGTACTATACCTATGTCCATGGAAGAAGTCAACAATGAAGTTCAAAGTCTATACCAAGAAGTTGTAAAATTAAGAGATATAAGCAAATGAAGTTCATAATTAAATCCAAAGAGTTTTGCTATTATAAGTATAAGAGATGCAATGATAAGTATGCTAGAGAAGTTTGATAGAACAAGATCAAAATTTCAAGGATTTCTATAATAAATAAAGTTTTATCTAAGATTGCATTCTTTTTAATATGATGATGGAATTTTCTTTCTTGATTTATATCTTTGATAGAAAAAAAATTCACAAATCTTTTATAATTTGAATTCATTTTTGAAAGTGTTTGCAGCTACATTTAGAGAAAGTGATTGAGAAAGGATAGCAAAGACCAAGCTCGTATTGTTATGACAAGGATCATATTTAATTATGACATATGTTGCTAAATTTCAAAATCTTCCTTGTGATGTGGATTCGAATAAAAAATTCTTTATCAATCAATTTTCATATGGTCTGAAAGATAATATCAAAGATTTAAGGCTGACAATGTTGAGAATATATTCATTAAAGCACTTTATTGCTCAAGCTATTGTATGCAATAATCAATTCTTTGAAATACTTCAAGAATAAAGATTTGATAAGAAAAGTAAAAATCAAGCCATAATGACATCTTTTTAGACTTTAAAAATTTATTTGTCTAGTTGCTAAGGATAAGAATTCAATGAAAATAAATAAATAAGTGATACTTTTCCAAAAAAGTATAATAAAATAAAAATAAAGAAATATGTGTATTAAAAATAAAAATAAAAAAAATAAAAAAAAACTAGAATGGTTATTAGCAAAAGAGAAGAAAACTAGAAACTTCTTAAAACTAGATTAGAAATAAGAAAAGAATTGACAAGAATGAAGAAGGCTTTATTCTTACCCTTATATACATTATCTACCTAAGAGCTATGTAGTGATGTTCTATAGAACCTTCAAAATGTGTTGACTTAGCACATCATGTATCTTAACTTACAAGATAAGTTTTCTATGTGGATGCCACATAATTAGCTTATTCTACACGTAATCAATATATGTGGTGTATGTTTAACTTATTGACGAATTTTTTAACCTATCAATTAATTATAAATACATATAAAATTTGTTAAAATATATAAATAAATATGAAA